GTGGGAGAACTTGCACAATTGGTGGCTGACTAAATACTTTTTTGCCCCACTGTATGTATCTTTGTGCTTTCATGAATGCCTTCTGGAGGTATATGATTTGTATCATGGCACCCCCATGCACTGTACTGCTTACCCATGGGTTTTATTGTGATTCTCAAAAGTTGTCTGTGTATTGGTCTACACAAAGGAAAAGTTCAAGAGTCCATTGGAATTGGATCCAAAAGCTCTTTGCCACCCAGAGTCCATTGGAGTTGGGTGGCCAATAAATTTAAATAAATAAATAAATAGCTGCTGCTTTGCAGCACTGCATGATACAGGATAGCACACAAAAGTGGAGTTTTAAAGTCAGGCCCCTGAATTGCCCCAGGTAAACCAGACAGGAAACATGACCAGATGAGCTAATTCAACTTTATTGTAAGGCTAGATTAACAGAATCTTCCAAGTCTGAAAGTGCAACTCTCCCGCCCTCCCATTTACTGCCTGATCAGTTAGGGCGGGGCGGGTCCTTTCTAAATTTCTCTGCCCATTACTCAGTTGCGGGGTCCTCCCCCTTTTATCTGATTGTTCCCTAGGGAGCATCTCTCCCAGCCCCCCCCCCCCCGGCCTTCCAGAGTCATTCTCACATTCCATTACAAATGCTTAGCTTTTATGGTTTAAAAATATTCCAATGACAACGTAAGGAAAAATATATATTTTGTAACTGGTTATTTAGGAGTTTGTTGTCTTGTATCTTGTGTATTAATGTTGGGGTATGTGTTCTGAACAGAGGAGAAATAGTGTTGATGAATTTACCTCCATTGTCAATTACAGCAGTAGAATCACTCAGGTTAGTAGCAGCTGATGAGTAAATAGTTTCTGGATTGCTAGGGGTTTCATCTTGCCTTCCATATTAAAGAGTAACTAACTGTCTTCCACATCCTAGTTAATGCATGTATTAACTATTAATATTGCAATGCATTTTGTGTTTGATAATAACCAGGGAAGTCTTATGCTATTTATCTATCTTAATAGGACTATCCAAGCCCCAGGCCAGGTTCCGGTCGTTGTGTCCCCTGGGAACCAGCAGCTGCACACTGTAACACTCCAGACAGTGCCTTTAACAACCGTGATAGCCAGTGCAGATCCAACATCTTCAGCAACACCCCAGAAGTTTATTCTACAAGCCATCCCATCTTCACAGCCTGTGACTGTGCTGAAAGAAAACGTCATGCTGCAGTCTTCAAAGCCAGTCTCTCCTCCTTCCTCCATCGTCTTTAGTCCTGCTCAGGTTCACCAAGTTCTCACCAGCAACGTGCAGACAATTTGTAATGGAACAGTCAATGTGGCTTCTTCTCCGTCTTTCAGCAGCGCTACCCCTGTAGTAACTTTTACGCCCAGTGGTTCCCAAGTGGCTGCTCAACCCTCCAACACAGTGATCACTTCAGTTATTAAGGCACCAGAAGCGAAAACAGCTGTTATACAAGGAACGGAAAGATCACAATCTGAAAATAGTACAGGGGAAGAAGGCAAACACTCGGAACAAAATTTCCAGCAACAGCCTTTTGTAGTTATGGTGTCCGCTTCCAATGGATTTCCTTCAGCTGTACATATTAAACAAGAAAGTGAACAGTTAAAGCCACCAAGTCCATATGAGTAAATAAGAAGGAAATTAATTCTAAGGTTGCTGGTTTTCCTGAATGTGATAGAACTTCTTCATCAACTGTGTATGTAACATTTGATTCCAAAGCAGGCATTATAAAGCTATTTTTAATTTCTGAAATTATATTTTAGGAGTAATACTGTAGAGTTGATTTCCAGCTTTGTTATTTCCTAAATGATATAAAATATTAATGTTTCAAAATGCAAGCATGAAGGAACATGCAGTTTATCTTTTGTGATCACTGTCCAAAAATTCTAAATTTCTTAGATTTCATGTATTATTTGTCTGTCTTGCATAATAATGTAATCAATGCTTGAAAGCAATAGTTAATTTCAGGAGGTTTTTTTTATGCCATTATCTGACTCTTTTAGTAAATTCCAAAGATCTGTTTTATCCAGTGTACTTAGAATATATTTTGTTTTATATGGATATAAAAGAGTGGGCAATCTGAACCTCATTTGTCCTATTGCATTTTGCCCCAGTGAGGAATCGTTTTGCAAATAGAAGTACTTCCCTTCTATCAATAAGATATTTACCACCATTTATGCATTCTATTTACTATATATTTTATATTTTCATAATGACAATATCTTTGATAAACTGGCTCACCAAAACAGAAGCTATCACTACAGGTGCAATTATTTTCAGACCACTTAAACCTTGAAGCATAAAGAAATGTGCTGTTTGTTTTCCATTATTTTTATAAGGAAATGAAAAATAGAAGTATATGGGATTTAACCCAAGTATTTTGAGATTAAAACGTTTCTACAAAGTACCTTTTCTATTGTAAATATGTAATTTAATTTCTCAAAGATTTTTTTCATAAAAATATTTCCATAGAACAATATTTTATAGATACAAATAAGATCATTATGTTTAGAGCTCTAAAGTTATACGTATTCATGTATTACAGAGTGAATTTGTATTTAAAAGAAAAATTTTAAATTGTGGGACCTTTTGAAGCTGTTTTGTCTTTTTGTATTTTAATTGGTTTATCATGAAAATAAATCAAGTACAACATCCTTGTATGTTTTTCTTTGTTAATCTGAAATCTGATGTTATGGTAGGCATTCATAAGGTGATCTGTAATGAAATTCCATATGGAACAATTTGCAAGAAGGAATCAGATTTAAGATATGGAAGCCTTTATTATTTTGACAAAGAAGTCTTTAAGCTGTACTCTTGTTGTTTAAGTCGAGTTGACAAGTCAAACTAAGTTTGACAAGTCAAGTTGACAAGTCAAACTATGAATCAGGAGAGAGAAATTAAAGCAGGAAAGTAAGAATCCTAGGAAGCTGGCAGTAATGGTTCAATAAATAAAGTAATTTTTTGGTTAGATTCATCTCTGATCTACTTTACATATATTAAAAGAATCTAACATCATATTTTAAAAACATAATAGGATCAGAAGGGGCCTGACCATTTATTAACTCCTAGTAGCTAGGAGTAGCTAAAATGTCTTGCAGCTCTGTACACCAGCAAGTCCTATTTCATTAAGTACTGGTCAAAAGCCCAGTGTCCAGAGTATATGAACCCTATTTATTTCTACCATAAATGAAATTAAACATATTTTGGCTTGCAAATGCATTTGGTTTGCCCCTTGGCCTTCCTCCCACACTTTCTCCACCTGGAAGAAATATTTGAATTGTTGCAATAATACAGAATTAAGCTGTACATAGTATCTCTCTTAACCTTATATCATGATACAGAACATCCTGGATATACAGGTTGGATTTACTCCTAAAAAGGATAGGTTCAATGTGTGGATAAGCCTTGTATTGTATGGATAGAAAACTGAATAGCCTATACACAATAGATTGTATTACTTGGAGGAATAGCATTGAGGTTTTTAGGCCCCTTAGCATCCCATAGTACTTTACTAATATAATTTTACAGGACAGCATCAGTACACAGGTTGCTGTGTTCCTGTCAACATTTCAAATAATAAATTCCCAACTGTGTCCTGGAAATTATAACATCTGCTTACAATAAAAGAATAAAATAATTCTAAGAATATACTGTAAAAATATCCGTTAACAAATATTGAGGTGATGATCCTACCGCTGATTTCAGTATAAATCCCAAAGACTGACTTGAGGACTCCAAAATGGATTCAAAATCTGAACCCATTTGATCACAATGAATACCTGTGAACGTGGGTTTTGGCTGATTCTGATTTAGGATGTGTTACATAAAATGTTTTGAGGGATGCGAGAATTCCACCAAAGTCACACTGGGATTTATGCTCTATAGATTGCCTCTCCCCCCCGCTTTTTATTTTTCTGGTTGAACGCTGAAAAAAATGGTTCCTACCACAGTGTTTTGGTTTTGCAAAGGTCCTTTATGACTTGCGTTTTTGGGATTCTTTGCAATAATTTATTACAACTTGTCAAAGGCCACATTTGATACTTTCTTTCTATGGAATCTAAGATGTGTTGATTTCTAATGGATATCACTGTTGGTAACCCTTAGTGATTTATTATCATGACATGGGAATTTAATTACTGTTAGTTCTATAAGCAGAATTTCAGATTGAGGTTTTCACTTCTCTTTGGGCTCAACGATCCTATTGAGGAACACGCTGGAATTACTTGTGCATCAGCTTATAAAATATGATGGAATTCAGCTCAGTTATGCCTTACGTATAGGCATTACACTTCAGATATGTAAGTCATGTTACTGCTAGTTTTTTTTTAAAATCAGGATGATTAAAACTACTATATTTCAAAGGAAGGCTGGATTTTTTTTATTTCACAAACCATTTAATTTTATTAGCTGAACAATAGAGCTTGAAAGGATTCATCTTAAATTTAGGGTCATCTTCCTTTTGGGAAATAGAGTATATTTTAATGATTGAAAGGTGGAATATCAATAAGACAAATTATCAGAGTTACATAAATATGGTAACTGGCTCAAAGTTAAATAAGAAAGTTGTGTATTTTTTGTTAATTGTAGTATGTGGTCATTTCAACGAATTTTGAAAATTCTATTTTCTTTATTAATTACAGTGCAAATACGTTTTCTTGAATGTGAAACTTCAATCTCAGCAACAGCAATGTAT